ATTGAGTTCGGAGGTGGTCTCAAGTGATGGGAAGACCATTTGGATTGAAATATATATTTAAATTCTTAAGGGGAACTTTAGTCAATCATGGTTGAGTTGGTCAACCTAGTCAAACCAAAACTTGGGTTTAAGTTCAATGCACTCCTAATGGTATTTAAGATGCATTAGGGAGGGTTCCATGGCTTGACTTGATTGGGCCATATTGAGGTTTGGAGAAAACTTCAATTTTCCCCTAAAGAGGCATTTAAGTTACTTGGGCCCCTGGCCAGCTTTAAGTCAACCTAGGTCCACCAAAGTATAATTTTGTATTTAACACATCAAAATGAGGATTATAGATATGGTTAAAGGTTTTGGGGAAGATCCTAAGGTCAAATTCCACAAGGTGGGAGGTCCAGTGACATAGGATGTAAATATTTAAATGTTTTGCAGCCTTTCGATTTCAATCAAGTCTTTAGGATTAGAGGTCTCATATTAACCTCAAATTTGGAGGGTTGACCCTAGGGACATGCTTAATAAATGTGCAATTTATAGATCATGAATCATGGGTCATTTGAATGGGTTTTTAGGTGATTGAAAAAATACCCAAGAAGGGTTACAGGACATGGGCCCTTAACCTTGTGTTTTAGTAAAAAATTCTAGATTTAAATGCAATTTTGAATTTGATTGATTGAATTTGAATTATCCACATCAATAGAAATCAATTATGTTATTGAATAAAGGAAATCAAGTGGTGGTCACTAGGTGCCAAGTAACTGAGCTGGGTAGTGTACTTAGTCACCTAGCTATAGTGTGAGGCTACAACTTCAATTGATTATAGGTTGATATAAACTGAATGATTAAAGTTAATTATGTATATGATTGAAGTTTGATTTAAGAATGTATGTTTAAAGTTTGTTTGAAGACTGGGTAGCTGCAAATGGGTGCAGGCTGATGTTTGAAGCATGGATTGAGTTCTGGATGATTGTTAACCATCAGATCAACACGTAGAAGTCTGGATAGATCCTGATGACCTTATATAGAAATGAGGACAACAAAGTTGTGTATTTGTTGTGTAATAACTATGTATTGATCGCATAATAGCTACGTATTCATTACTTATTTCTGCGATATTCATGACTACTTATCTTATATTTTAATTCAACTTTCGGTATAACTTCACTTTGAATCATCATGGAATAAACCTGCATATTCACTGCATATCATTGACATTTTTCTTAAAATATTATTAATACAAGCTTTATTATTAAAAGCAAAAAATTTCCTTATATTATGCAAGAAATGCTATTTTATAATTGTACAAATAGCAAATGCTATTTTACAGCAAAATTAATCTAAGAATACAATAATAACCTATGTCACTACAAAATATATATAAAAATGTTTATTTATTCAAATAATAAAACAATTCATATACAAATTTGGTAATAAATTTTGGTATTTCTATTTACCAATATTTGTGTTCAGCCTAGTTGACATTACTATGATATACAACTCTTTCCATATACTTGTAGGCAAATATTTCACATTCATAACTCTTTGATTGTGTTGGCAAATGACGAGTAACTAGATTGGCCAACGTCTTATATCACTATAAAAAAATTATGTCGTGCATTATGTAGATTTCTTATTAGAATAATATAACAAACAAACATTAGTTGGTTGGCCGCATGAGAGAAAATTAACACTAGCTCTCACTTACGATCTTTGGAAGGAGTTTCTTGTGCTTCGGGTTGGGTAGGGAATCATAAATTCTCAAATCTTTTCATTCAACCACCCAAACAGAAGGGTCCAGTCTTGATTATGGATGACTGGTTGAAATAGAAGACTTGGCACCTTAACCAAAACCTCTTTGATATGTTGGACATATAAAAAGCTATTCTGATTGTACTGCCTATATCCCAACAAGTTGTCAATAAGGGGATGGCTGATGCTCTAAGAAAAAAAATTATATACAAATTATTTATAAAGTGTATACTAACCCAATGAATTGGCGAGACATACAAAAAGGCTTGGTATAGGTTAGGCATAAGTTTAAAATTCTCACACAATAACATACATAAGGCATCTACGTGAAAATTAATAAGGTATTTTTTTGTTAGTATATCATCTACATCAACTCTACTTATTAATTACGATGTTCTCATTGGCAAATATTATGCCAGACTTACTAGCAAAATAAATGTAGCTAATACATACTACATCATAGTGATCTCAATATATATGCATCAAATATGTAACAAACATGCAACAAGCACGCATAAATCACGCGGCAAATACGCAACAGTCATGCATCAATCACACAAAAATCATGCATCAAATATGCAACAATCACACAATAAATACGTAGCAATCACACAAACACTCAACAAACATGCAACAAATGCTCAATAAATATGCAGTAAATGTAATCATGTAATCAACATTCCACAATAAATACAAAATAAAAAATGCAACAAATAGGTAGTAAATAAGCATCAAATACACGATAAATACATGATAAACTTACTTGTCAATATACTTTGCAAAACATTAATCCATAAGTAATTATTTCTCTTTACTGAACATATCCTTGCCCTCATATTCCATTAATGTTTATAGTTGGTCTAGCGTCTATTTCTTACGTATCAACCAGAATTGGATCTAATGGGTAAGGAGGAATTATATTATCTGGGGGAGGAGAATTTAGCTCAGCTAAGGGAGGGGGATTGGATAACCTGGGGAAGAGGTCTCTGTTCTAAGCTTCTTCTTTTCTATAGAATGAGGAGTTGGTTCATTAGGGGTTTCATGTTTTATGTGGATAATTATGATTATAATATTTGGGGGAGGGGGGGTTGGATTAGCTGGGGAAGGGGGGTTTTTTCTTAACTTATTCTTTTCTACATAATAAAGAGGTGGTTCATTAGGTGTTTCATGTTTTATGTGGATAATAAGAATTATAGCAGTTGGGGTGGGTTGCTGGCAGGATGAGGATGCAGAAGCCAAAGGTTGCTGGGGATCAATTTAGAATGAGCAGCCTGGTGGATGAGCTTATATTCAATGATATCAACCTTCACTTTTAGGCGCTCAATCCTCGTGCCTGGTCTATTATCAAGGTTAGTGAACCATTTTGTGCATGCAATTTGGAATGTTGTCAAAAAAAAAAAAAAAAAAAAAAAAAAAAAAAAAAAAAAAAAACTATTTGACAGCAGCCCAATCCTCCACTTTTGTTGGCTAAGGAGAATAAGGGGGCCCATAATGTTGGGGAGAATGAGGGGTAGCTTGATGGGGAGAATGAGATGTGTGGGTGGGGAATTCCTTTCAGGTTGTGGGAGAAAGGATGTGCTTAAGAGAAGGAGGGGGTGTGGTGTTTGTAAGTTCTAGATGGCTGTGCAGTCGCCTAATAGATTTTCTATTTCCCCTTGAGTTACATCCAGGAGGACATAAAAAATCTACACAGAATTGATTCCATTGTTAGCAAATCTCAAATCTTCTTAGAGGAATAAATTGAAATTTACTCTAGTAGAAATGTACATGCTTACCTATCTTTCCTTAGAGTATTAAATATATTGGATGCTTTATCAGCATAACAAAGAAATCAATACTGTCCCATCGAAGAAAATGAGGTGTTAAGTCAAGTTATCTATTTGCATGTAGTGGAAAGTGCTCTATGAATCAAATATGTATAATATCCAATGTAATATTAGCTACTTAATTAATAATTAGATGCTAAATATATGCTGTTAGCACTCATAAGTAGTAGAGGTACAAAATCATTTATATAACACCTAGGCTTCTGCATAAAAATCTTCTTGGAAACTTTATTAAACTCATCAAATAGATAATCTCTTATTAAGTTGAACTAGTTAATATATGAAAAACCATCTATATTATTTGCAATTGTTATGAGCCTTCCTGGTATTTTAAAGTTATTATGTTGGTGTTTTTGATTGAAAAATATATTTAAATATATATATATATAATTTTGAAAAATATTTTAATTTTCTTTGAGTAGTCCAAGTGACCTCATACAAAAATGAGGTCAACAGTTGGAAAAATAGATTTCATAGCAAATATATGATAAATATTTTTAACATATTGACTACAATAAGGTAGTCAATATGTTCAATTCCAGCATATAAGCATTATTCTTCTTTGATGTCACTCATAATAGTGGCTCGCTATGCCCGGATATCTGTTCTTCTTTGTTTGGCAATCCAGTTAGAAGAGCCAATTCATCAACTGTAAATTGTATGGCATGACCCCTGATTATAAAGGACTGCTGAGACATGTCCCACAATTTAAGCAGCTTATATATTAGTGGGACATTTTGTTGGTGGGATGCGTACTTCAAAAATTGGTAGTTGTTTAATTTTTTTAAGGTCTCATTGACATCTTTGTTTATTATATCGACAAAAATGTTGCAGATAGTTCTGAACATTGACACATAACATCGATAAGTTAGAGGACGAACATAGCTCTGAAAAATCACAAAGAAACAATCAATAAATAAGCAGTGGATGAGGATTAAAAATGCAGCAAAAAAACAAAAATTCACATCAAATACACAATCAAAACGCATAAAATACGTAAAAATTGCGCAACCAATACACATAAAATATGCAACTAATATGTAGCCAATATGCAACCAATACTCATCTAATACACACCAAAATATGCAGTAAACCATATAAATCATTAACCATAAAAGAGATCGAAAATGTATTTTCTAAACTCAGAAATTTAAACCTTTGCACAGTGGAAACAGTTTTATGCAGCTCATCACATTTCATAGGCAGCTGTGTAGCACATACGCAGTTATTATGCAATTCATACTTAGTTTTTAGGCAATTCATATTCAATTATTATAAAGTTAAAAAATAATCCGACTCAAGTCTTTTGATCTTTCTGCAAATTCAATGAAGAAAATATTTAAATTATGTAACTAGACCGAATCGGTCGGGACAGGCAAAAAAAAAAGCTACTGACAAATTTTCAAAGATTAAATTCATGTGTCACAATTTAATTGAATTCCCCGCACAACCGGCATCAAATAATTTCTCCGAAAATTGACGGTTCCGACTTCCGATAGAAACTCCACGGTACGTTGTACGCTATCAGCCCACCGCACTCCGCAGCGCCTACCCTTCAGGCCTTCATCGTGGCGTAACGGGCAACTCTGCCATTTTTCCTCCTGCGTTCGAGCGTTTACTCAAATAGCTCTGAGCCCAAAGGAAAGGGAGAAGTTTTTTTTTCTCTTAAATTTATTTATAGTCTCTCTATCCGGTTTCGATTTTTTTTCCACTCGGTTCCTGGCGGAGGAAACCATAATACGAACTGGGCTCCCGGATGAATGATGAATTCATGGGGACCTAAACAACTTGACATACGCCAGATCTACGCTCGATACTGTGGTGAATTATTTCATCCATTCTTTTTTATCTCTGTTAGTCCCCTTGTTTTAGGTTTTGTCCGATCATTAATTTCTGTGCTGCGTTTCTCACTATCTTCGCTATTTTAATTAGATTTTCGATGTCATATGAAGAAAGATAGATATGTTAGGATTGAGTGGGAATAACTATTTATTTATTTTTATCAGATAGAAATTTAGGGGCTGTTCTGTTTTTGCTTCATCGATGTTTGTAATGTTCTGTTACGTTATTTAAAGTTGTTGACTGATTGGTTTACTTACGTTTTTAAATAACATTAAAAAAAATATTATTTGTCTTGTTTTTAAGCTGCCAATGTCTATTGTCATGATATCTGAAGAACTATGTTATTGAGTTAATATAGATAGAATTGAAATCTCAATATCATAACTCTAAACCAAATACATTGTATTTAACGATAATACTAACATCTAATAATGCTGACATCTTAGTAACACTAAGATTTCAATAATATTCAACATGGGGTTTTTCAAGGATTAGTTTTTCTGGAGAACCAGCATATAATAATGCTGACATCTTAGTAACACTAAGATTTCAATAATATTCAACATGGGGTTTTTAAAGGATTAGTTTATCTGGAGAACCAGCATCTTTGGCTTAATATGCAAAAGGAAAAACATTACTCAGTGAGGTCTTATTCTTGACTCCTGAAGATGGTAATTCCCTGAAATGTGTAAGTTTACGTAATGGTAATTTTGATGGAGTATTTTGCACCAGAATTGTTCAACATTGGAGGGTAGTAACAATGCTGGTTGATTTTAGGTGGAATTTATGTAGTTGTCAGTTTAAAAATAGGCTTTCTCTGAAATTATGTTCTTTTACCAAAACATTCTTAACCCACTTCTCTCTCTCCCCCTCCCTTTCTCTCTCTACCTCTCCTTTTCACTAATAGTAAATCTATGTTGATGTTTTGACATTATTTCCTATTGGTAATCAAAGAAGATGAAAAAAAGAAACACTGGGGTGCTCATTATTTTCCCTTTAAATCTTGTTAGCTACATCCATATTTATGGATGCATCATTATTTATTCCAAGGGGGTGGCAATTTGATTGATATCATAGCTATTTTTTGAATTTAGATTTGGGAGGGAATTAGGAAGGTTTATTTAGGGAAAGAGGGTTGATTTGAATTCTGATTTGGAAGGTAATTATGAAGGTTTACTTAGGAAAAGAGGGTTGATTTGAATTTAGATTTGGGAGGGGATTAGGAAGGTATATTTAGCATTTATTAGGTCGTTTTATTTTCATTTTGGGATTTGTGTTTTTGTTTTATTCTCTTTGGAGTTGTTCCTAGAGGGCCTAGGGTTTGTGGAGAGTCGATCTACCTCTCGAATAGTAGATCAACTTGTATCTTGGCTTATTTTGCCGATATTAAAAGACATTAGTCCATAATCTCATTCTTTCTCGTTGATTGTGCTGCGTTTTCTCTTCGTTATTATTTTTTATTTGGCTTTATGGAGTTCATATTCCTATCAGAGGGTTGTGGGCAATGTTTAGGATTAGGAAGGAGGAAAGGGTAGGATGGAGATAATGACCACTCTTGATTTGTGGCTAAACTTGTTGCCGGTGCTTGTTTTAGAGGATGCAGACCCCAACAATCTCCCTTCCTCCCTTCCCCTCCTTTCCCTCTTTCCTCCTGTAATGGTACTATTAGATGGGTAGAGAAAAGAGAGAAAGAATAGAGTAGGAAAAAGGTGACGAGCACTTTTGGTTTAGGGCTAATCTGATTGTTAGTGGTATCCTAGAGGATGGCAGCAATGTGACAAGATCCCTTGGAAACTACCTCTAGAGGAGGAGGAGAGAGGTAGCAAGGGATATATGAATATGTAGGTGAGGAGCAATATTGGTTTGCTACTAGCCTCATTGTTAGTTGCTGTCTCCAATGATTTGGGAGATCTAAGGTTGGATACGAAGAGGAAAGTAGAGGAAACATTTCATAGCCAAACATAATAAAATCATAATCATTTAATTAATCATAAATTATCTGAAGATAGTATTAGGAAAGGTGCTTGTGTGAGAGGGAAGACAGTTATACAAGGACAGTAAGGACCAGTTCAATGTAATTCATCATATGTTGATGTTCACTATAAAAAATAATAAATTATCTCAGCTAAATTTGATTATCAACAATAATTACTGATTAATTAACTAAAGTTGCTTATTGAGTTTTCAAATGTCAGGTAGCTACTCTGTGATTACTATACTGGAAGTTTGGAATTAGCCTTCTTTGTTAAACCATCATTTTTTCACTATGTATAAAGTTGTTGGTTGATTTGAAGACTTTTTTTTGGGGGGGGGGGTTTGATTTGAAGACTATAATCCTTTACTTATATACCTTTTTATGCTGATGCTGGAATGCCAAATATTAGCTTAAGCAAATATTTTTTTCTCTCATTATATAACTCTTTTTGAAAATTTTCGTGTAGATATTGTATCTGGAAACGATCATGCAGCTTCAAGGGAGTTGTTATCCATGCTTTCACATTCAATTGAATCGCAAGGGCTTGCAAGGTATTAAGAACTCTTCTTATAGCTGATGTGTCATACTAATAGAAAAACTACTGAGACGATGAATGCAATTTTAAGACTTGCATCGCTTTTTTATAAATCCTTTCCCCTTTGCCATACATGTTATATCAGCTCATATATCTAATTTATCAAAATGAAATTTATAATGATATGATAAACATTAGTCAAGTATTGAAACACCCTTTATGAACAACATTTATGCAACAATAGAATATTAGGGAGCTAGTGGCTGCACAAATTTGTTTCTAATTAAAATGGGAATTAAGTTTCAACTATCTTACATTTAAATGATTGAAATGTTCTTTCCAATGCTTTTTGAGGAATGTTCATAGAAATATTTTGTTATTCGTTTGATCTTATCACAATGCTTACCATTGTATGAGGTGGATAATAATATATAAACTTCTTTGTACGTATTAATAGATTCAATTCTTGGGTGCTACATAATTGTGTACCGATCACATAATTTTAGTTGTTTAACCTAATAACCTTAAGTATTTATCTTGCATTTTCTTGCATGCCAAAAGAGAACACAATTTATTTATTGTACATGATGTGCTAATAGAGCTACCAGCATGATATTAGAATTTTAATTCTCATAAACTTGCTAGGAATAATACAATCAATGAATATGGCATAGATGCTGTCAGTGCACCCTTGATATCGGACGATTCTAAGAATGCATATATTTTAAGGTTTTTTTGACTAACTGTTATCTAAATAATAGTGATCTTGAGAATATTGTTATGTTATTAAGATGACAAAGTTATCTATTAAATAAAATGCATTTTGTTTGATGTTATCTGAAGTATGTGGGACCTGTTGTGATGATAACCCTCTTTTTATCTCTTTTTTCATCCATCAAGCCTGTGATAATCTATTTGACACCTAATTTAGCATCTAGAGTTTTTTAATTTGGCCTAGTTATGTGTTTTATATTATTGCAATGGGAAGAATTGTGTCAAACCAGACCATCTGTTAGAAAAAAGGATGCACGAGGGAAGAAGAAAGGCAAAGTATTGGAATACTTCATTGCTTGAGTATGGTGAAAATTCGAACTATAAATTGAGGGTTACAACGGTGAAAAAAATACAGAAGAAATCAACTCTCTTTAGTATGAAAGGAAATATGAATATTATAGCAGGATTTAGTTTTAAAAACTACTAAATATACATTAGAATCCCTATAAAATCAACCCCAAATTAACCCCAATATAAGCAATGGGAAGCTATGAGCTGGAAATGGGGAGATCTGCCAAATAGGGAGGCTGCTTGCTACACGAATGTTCCAGCTGGGTATTTTGCCAATCAGGGATGCTGGCTAGCTGCTAGCAAGAAAAGTGCCAACCCTCCTTGCTAAATAAGAGCTAGAATCAATCAAGAGTGGTTTCCAAGCTAGGAAAAAAAAAAAGAATTTGCATTAATCATTTTCCTTTATAAAGATGTGGCAATATTTAACGCTCCCCCTCAAGTTGGTTTAAAACATCACATAGGCCAAGTTTGTCAATCTTTTTTTCAAATAGAGGTATAGTCAACCCTTTTTTCAGGATGTTAGAAGTCTGATTAGAAGAGATAATATATAGAACATTCATATTAGTCCGCCATGATGGATAGGGTTATGAGCTCTACTAATAACATGCTTATTCACAATATAATATCATAGTAGTTTGAATTATTTCTTATAGTTTTTCTAACAGTGCCTTATGTCAAATCAATTCACTAATGCCACTGGCCAAGGATTTAGTTTAGCCTCAGCACTACTCCTTGCCATGTCAATTTATTTTGTTATTCATATAAAAAAAATTATCCTATACATAAATGCAGTACCTCAATATGGAAATTTTGTCAATTATGAAACATGCCCGATTAGTATTAATATATAATTTTATGATTCTAGATTCCCTTTCTTAATGAATTGTCCTCAGTTTATATTTTAGGTATTTGAGTTTCCTTATAACAATATTCATATGTTCTTCATGACGTGTATCCATAAACAAACTAATCAAGCTAACAACAAAGGCAATATCAAGTTTGGTGTGAATACAATATTTGAGTTTCCCAACCAATCTTTGATATATTCCTTCATCAAAAATTGAATAGAGAACTAGTTTTACGATCACTCAATTTTGTGTTTATATTCAAGTCATTTAGGGATATGTATGCTGGAGCTGTTACTTGTGTTCAAACACAAGGTGGTTTGACCAAGTATTTTCCTATTTCAGTAGGATTACATCAAGGATCATCCTTAAGCCCTTATCTTTTTGATTTAGTCATGGATGCTCTTACTAGACATTTGCAAGAGGATGTACCTTGATGTATGTTTTTTGTTGATGACATTCTTCTTGTTGATAAGACTAGAGAGGGAGTTGAAGGTAAACTCGAATTATGGAGGTCAACCTTAGAGTCTAAAGGTTTTCGTTTGAGTAGATCTAAAATCGAATACATGCAGTATAATTTTAGTAGTAATAGATCTAGTGGAGGGTTTGTGACTTTGAGCGATCAAGTCATTAACAAGTGTACTCATTTTAGATATCTTGGGTTTATTATTCAGAGTGATAGTGAAATAGATGGGGATGTTATTAGTAGAATTCAAGTTGGATGGTTGAAGTGGAGGAATGCTTCGGGTTTGTTGTGTGATAAAAAAACACCACTCAAACTTAAGTAAAAATTTTATAAGATGGTGGTGAGAACTGCAATGCTTTATGACCCAGAATGTTGGACATTAAAAGAGAAGCATAATATTAAGTTAAGTGTTGCTGAGATGTGGATGCTCAGGTGGATGAGTGTATTTACTTTTAGAGTCAGGATACGAAACGAGCATATTTGTGAAAAGGTTGGAAGTGACAATAAGATTAGAGAGTCGCCTTCGATGGTTTGGTCATGTAAAACGGTGGCCTTCCAATGACCTTGTTATGAGAGTAGATGTATTAGATTTGCCCTATGTTAAGAAAGGTAGAGGTAGACCTAAAAAGACTTGGTTAGAAAATATTAAAAATGACCTTTCTTTATTAGATTTAAATGAAAATTTGACTCTTAACAGTACACAATGGAGAAAAAGGATTCATGTAGCATGTAGTGGGATAAAGGCTTGATGTTGTTGTTGTTGTTGTTTCCGTTGGAGTGTCCACATCTTTGTTTCCAGTTAAGCCAATTTCTTTTAAAACATTTAGAACACATTTTCTTTGAGAAATAGTTAGACATTTTTGTTTCCAGTGATTTTTTGTTTCAAGAAAATACATGAGATACCCAAAGTCATTGATTTCAAACTCCTAAACAAATTTTTCCTTCAAGATACTTCTCCAAATCATGATCCTTTGTTGCAATAATTTTATCTAGACACACTTTTAATGTTATAAACTTAACATCTATGTGTTTGTTGAACAAATTATGATCTGAGTGAGCCTATTTTAATACTAGTTGATACATTATTTTGGTGAACCAGGCTCTAAGTGATTGAACCATTAAATAGATTTTTTTTTTTTTCAATTTGCATATTAAATCTCTCTTCCCATAGTCACTAATTCCTGGAGGAAGATTTTTTAAACTCCTTCATTCAAGTTACCATTCAAGAATGTTTTCTTAATATCCATTTGATGAATTGGTAAATCAAGGATGACTACCATTGAGTGAAGGACTTGGATGGTGTTAAATTTAACATGAGTAAATGTTTTAGAGTAGTCAATCCCATGAGTTTGGATGACCTTTTTTGCAGCCAACTGTGCTTTACATCTCTCAATAGATCCATCAAATTGATATTTGATTGTAAAGACTCATGTACATACAACAAAGATGATATCCTTGGATCTTTAAATGACATGCCATGGTTTGTTTTTTTCAAGGGCCATCATTTCATCTTCGCTGCTACTCTCCATTTTGGTTTATTAAGAGGCTTTGCCATAGTTTGTGAAATTTCAGTTTATGCTTGGTTGGAGACTATAGTTTTCATCGCGGATGATATATGATTATGTCATCACATTTGTCGTAAGATGTTGAGTACAAACACGAGCCTCTTTTCTTAGGGTAATGGGCAATTCTACAGTAATCACACATGGAAAAAAGTTTTGTGAATTTCTCAAGTCTAGGTAGGATTCATGATAAGCTTTGAGAGATAGATGAGCTTTAATTCTTTGTAGATTCTTCCTTTATGAGTAAACACGAAGTTAAGACAAATGTTGTGGGATCAAGTATTGGTTATTTTGATTCGATAGATTATGAGAAGAGGAGTCTTGATAATCTAATTATTGTTGGGTATGAGGAAGGCTCTTAGTGTTATTGATGGATTGGAGGATTTAAGAGGAAAAGCATGAAAAATTTTATCATCTTATACGCCCCTTTAGTGAAGGTTTTATTTTTAAGGAAGGTAACACTCTTGTTTACCATTTTTTTTCATGGAAATGACATTTATACCTTTTTTTTTGCTGAAGAAGGTAACACTCTTATTCCTATTTGATTTGTGATTGTGGATAAAAGTAGTGGTGTCAATTCGGGTCGACGGGTCGGGTTTAGGTCGAACCTGAGTTGACCCGGTCCTAAACGGGTCAACCCGAACCCAAGCCCGAACCCGACCCGTTTATGTAAACGGGTTGGCTATCTCAACCCGGACCTGACCCGCATGGGTTACCGGGTTGACATGACCCGACCCGATTATTTAAACTCGAAGCGGCAGTCGGCAGTGGCAGCAGGTGTGGCGACAGCAGGTGAGCAACGACAAGGAGCAGGAGGACCAGGCGGCACCGCGGCAACGGCCAACGGGCAGTCGGCACGCGTCGCGACTGAATCCAAAGCGGGCGCAGGGCGCTGGCACGCAAGCGACAGAGCTAAAGCAGGCCTTTCTGCGCTGGCACGCGAACCGCAAATGGTGAAGCCGAAGCGGGCAACGGGGCGCTGGCAGCCTGGCATGCGTCGCGACACGACTCACCATTCGCAAACGGCGAAGCGACGCGACTTGACGCGTCGGGCAACGCGGGCAGCCGGACCATTTCCGGGTCATTTTCGGGTAATTTTCAGGTTCCCGGGTCAAGCTGAACCCAACTTGATTTTTGAAACGGGTTAGTTTATTGAACCCGAACCCGACCCGTTTCACAAACGGGATGACCCGAAGCCTGATTTTTTCGGGTCGGGTTAAAAATTGACACCCCTACCCAAATACATAAAGGCATATTTGAAATAGTGCAAGTATTTGAAAAGCATTTAGAAAACATATTGATTGGGGTTTTAAACTGAAGTAGTTAATAGGTAGTCGATTTATAAGATAGGGGTTTTAAACTAAAGCACTTAATAGATAGTCGATTTATAAGATAATGTGTTACCATCCCAAATGAGATTTATGGGTGGGTATTAGTAATGAACATAGTATATTTTGCCACCTTTAAGTTATCTTTTTTTTTTTTTATTAGGCTATACAATTTTATTGGGGTGTGTTGGGATAAGAATTTTGATGGATAATGCTATTTTGATTTAGGTTAATTTCTTATAATGCAGTTAAGGTACTCGGTGCATCTAGAATATTTGCATGTTAATAACATATTTAGTTTAATATTATAGATGTTTTTGAATATATGTTTTGCATCTGATTTGTCTTTCAACAAGTATAGTCAACACACATGAATATTATCATTAATAAAAATAATGAACCATCATTTGCGGTAAATAATTTGTGATTTGAATGAGCTTCAAATATTATTATACAGAACTTTAGTAGCTTTGTATGGTTTAGACTTAAAGAAAACTCTTTGATCTTTGACAAGTTGATATATTTCACAGTGAAAGGCATCTTTATTGTCAAATAAAGAAGAAAATATTTTTTAAGGTATAAAAAATTCGAATGGTCTAACTTATAAAGCCATAACATAGTTTGATCTTTCTTTATAGGAGGAGAAAATTCTTTGTTAATCGTGAAAACATAATTACTCTCTTTGAACTCCTTATCAAAATTGTACAGATCTCTAACCTTGCGAGCACTGCCAATTTTCTTCCCATTCTTTGGTCATGAACAATATTTGATAAGAAAATAATTTTGTAGTTGTAATCTTTCTTTATTTTACGTACTAATATGATATTACAAGAGATATTTGGTATACAACAACAACAACATCAAGCCTTTATCCCACACGTGGGGTCGGCTATGATATTTGGTATACGTAAAACAAAATTTAAATGGAGCCCACAACTGGCCCCTGTTTCAACAATAGGAGATATAGATCCATCAATAATTTGACTTTGAGGTTTTCTGGTGAGGAAGTATAAGAGGAGAATAGGTGAGCACAACTTATCATGAAACTATTGAGTTAATGATCTATGATTCTTGGCTTCCCTTAATACAAGTAAGAGCTAGAGGAAAGGTACATTTTTGGAGAGCTGGTAGTTTTTTTTAGAAGTTAGAAATTTGTATAGGAGATCCAGTTGCTAAAGGAAATGTCACCAAGGTTATCAATGGTTGTCATCTATAATCCCTCTTTTTTTGTTTGACAAGCATGAGGTCAAGATTGATCCAATTGTTGGTTTTTCATGAAGTTTCTGACAATTCTCATGTGATTGGTCTTTATAGACATCACTCCAAAGATTACCTCTTGTCTTCCACGCATTTTGTTATTTTCTTGGTTTGCTATAAGTTCTAATGGCGATAGAAGACTCTTTAGTTTGAAGTGCATTCTTGGTACCTTGAAGCATTAATCTTCATTTGTGTTCTTCTCTTTGAGCGTCAATGAATAATTTTCCGATTTTGGGAAGTAGACAACCTCATGATTTTAACATGAACTTCATTTAGATCTTTGAACTTGTAAGAAAAATAATAGGTTATTGTTTTCTCCACAACTTCAATGTATTTACCCACACACTCCTTGTATCAATCATTTCACTACAAAATATTTAGTTCTTATAAAATTTTGTGGTGAAGTATTCAAGGACACTCATGCGTCGCTGGTTGATATCACAAGCATAATTCATATTTCATACAATTGAGCGGAGTTATCAAGATCCAAATATGTCATGTTGACTTTCTCCCAAATTGCTTATGTGGTATGGTATATCAAATACATGGATCCAAAGTGTTCTTTTATAGATTTGACAAGGAAAGACATCACCATGGTGTTCTTTTATAGATTTGACAAGGAAAGACATCACCAAGGTGTTGTTTGTATTCCACATAGGAAAGGAAGAGTCTATCACTTCATATTGACAGGTGATACCATTTACATATCCAATCTTTTGTCGGATCACCATTTAAATTATGCAAGACTATTAGGTTCCTATTGACTTTGGAGGATGTTATTTGAAGAGATGAGTGCTCCATCTCTCAGAATGGTATGGTTTGGTAAGGTGAAAAAAAAATGTATCTTGTCTCGACCTTTGCTTTTATGGGCCCTCATGTAGCTATTGACCATGGATTACTGTGAGAAAATAGTTCTGATACCATGTTTGAAAAAATGTAGGAGAGACGAGAGACCGAGTAGTGGAATTCTTTAATGCAACATGAATTGAGGGGGTTACAAAGTTGAAAAATTAGGAAGAAATCAAGTCTCTTTAGCATGAAAGGAAATATGAATTATACAACATGATTTATAAATATAAATATCCTAGATAAAATTCCTAGAAATCAGTCCCAAATAAACCCTAACCTTCTAAACAAGGGGAAAGCATGAGCTTGAAGAGGGGACTGTTGCAGGGAGACTTGCTAAGCTGGGAGACCTACATCTGCCAGAAGGCACCAACAGGGAATTCTGCCAATCAAGGGTTGTTGGCTGGTCGCTAGCAGGAAACCGCCAGCCCTTCTTGGGATAGGCATACTTTACATGAAGAGGTCCAAACTGTTGGCTTAGAGGGTCAAATGCAGTCTTTTGAAACTGGCGCTTGGACTCTTCTGATATTTCAGCACATGATGGGTGCCGGAAGTATAACACAAATTAGATCAAGAAACTGTATTTTATATTCCTTTGCATGTGTAATCATTTCATGGTATGTTAAAAATATGAAGCTCCAACTTACTTCTGTTCTTTTCTTTTGCATTACGTTGATATAACTTCCTCAAATTATGCTGAATAGACATTTTTTTTTATTATTGCCAGGATTGGGATTCTCACTGACCTCTCTAAGCTCATGTCTTGCCTTAATTTGTCAGTGAGTATGCTGTTGAACTGACATGTTAATCAGCTGTACAGAAAGTTTTGTCATGTTTATTAGTTCTCTAATAATTGTAAGAATTGTTCTGATCGCCAAAGGCTCTTGATATTTTTGTAGGTTGATTCTCGGCGATTTAGTTGTTTCTATGATTTTGTCTTCTTCATCTGCTGTGAGAATGGGCAGAAGAATATCAGTAAGGTTCTTCCTTTTTGATTATCTTGTTCATTTTATCTTTATTTGTTATTTTATTACGTTATGCATTGAAATATTTTTCTTTAATGATATTCAGCTGTAAGCAGGGCTATCACAGCCTGGAGATTGGTTTTAGCAGGGAGATTCCGCTTACTTGATCAGTGGTGTTGTTTTGTTGAGGTAATTTAAAGTTATGTATTATAGCTAGATGATTCTTTTATAACTATTTGCAACCTTTAACTCTGCAATCTGATCCCCCTTGTAACCTATCTGAACTGGTTTGATTTCTTTTAGCTCCAATGACTTAGCTTCAGAAAGTTGTCTCTGAACTTTACAGGCTAATGTGCTTGCAGTGATCACCCTGCCGGGGTCCTTTTTTTTTGACATAATAATTCTTGGTATGGTCCTTGTGGAGTTGATGATGATTAAGTGAAGGATTTTTGCCAAAAAGTTCCTAAAATAATGCAGTACTTAAAGCATTTCACGTATCATTTAATAAATAGGTGATGCACATTTGTGTTTATATATCAAGGGCCGGCACTTGTTCAATTTGATTAATGTCATAAATAAGCTCAGAGCTTATTATTACTTCCAGTTTCACAGTTCATAATTGCTTCCATAGAAAAAACTAAGAATAAAATGTTTTTGGAAAATTCCTTGAGAAAATGTGGCATGGTTGTTTTATTCCTGAGCAAGTTACAAATATGATTTGGGAGGTTTGCCTGAGAATATTAGGGTGCTAAGTTCATGATTAATTACTCTTGAGACAATGGAAAGAGGAAAGCTTAGAATCTTACAGTAACACTGCTGTCAGGACTTGAACACCAAAAATCAGCGAATAAATAATAAATTTCAGCAAACCAAATATAATTTCTTGATAAGAAATCAAACACGAACAAACAGGATACAATGGTCCTCTTTTAAGAGAATGACCTTCTCTCCCAAACTTTAGATGCCGCTAGAATCCCTCACAAAAATAGTCTCACAAAATCTACATGAAGAAAAATAATACTACCAAAAGGCCTAATATAACTCTCCCTATTTTTCACTCAAAACCTGATAAGTGATCTCCTCCTTTAACTCTCCTCCCTTTCCAACCTCCTCCTTTAATTCTCCTCCCTTTCCAATCCCCTCCTTTAATTCTCCTCCCTTTCCCCCACTCTTGGGCCCACATCCTTGACCGCCGATCCGTCAATATATCCGCTCAAAAGTGTCACATTATCCTCAAGTGGAATGAAGAGAACTGTTGTTGAATAATCTGATAGGACTCTTACATGGCTTCGTACTCCGGTAGATTCTTCCACCTGATCAACACTTCTTTGCTTCTTGTTACTCCCTGACGCACTCCAACATCTAATGGTTATAATGATGAGGACATCGATCCAAGGTTCAAACAGGTGTATTGCCGGAAGCATCGCAGATCGACGGCCACGATTCAGAGCTTATATTTTTAGTTATTATGCATTTTATTTTATGTATTCCTTTTTAGCTCCTTCGCATGTTCGTTCCACATCATATAACAACACCTCCATGCCATCCGCCAACGTCAGCGTAAGTGTGGAAAACAGATTGTGCTCTCCTATCACACGTCGCAACTTGGACACATAAAACACCGGGCGGATGGTTGACTACGATGGTAAATGTAGGCGAAATGCTACAGCACTGATGTGCTCCACTATCTTGTAAGTACCAAAGTAATAGGGTGATAACTTCTCATTCCTTCTCCATGCTAAGGTTCTCTGTCTGTAGGGGTCGAAGCATCAGGTAAACTTTATCCCCCACCTCAAACTGAATGTCTCTCCTCTGTGTATTTGCTTGCCTCTTCATAATTTGTTGAGCTCTCAACAAATGCCCCTTCAGCTCCACCAAGATCCTGTTGTATATATCTTCCAAGTACTGCTCTACTGATGTCATCGGTGTGCTGCGTTGTCCATAATATATCAAGTGAGGCAGATCTCTTCTGTATAACACCTTGAGCGGTGTTGTCTGAGCTATCAAATGATAGAAAGTGTTATGCCAATACTCTGCCCATGCCAACTATTTTGCCCACAACTTTGGTATATCCGATATAAAGCACCGAAGATAAGTCTCCACTCTACGAGTGACCACCTATGTTTGTCTGTACGCCAATTATTACTCCTTTTCAAAATTGGCCTTCCCTACATCTTGAACAATTCCTTCCAGAACCGGCTCAGAAAGATCTTGTCTCAATCTAATACAATCGATTATGGTATCCCATGTAGTTTCACCACCTACCTTATAAAAATCGTCGCTACTGATAGTGTTGTATAAGGACGGTGAAAGGGGAATGAAATGGGCATACTTACTCAATCAATCCACTACCACCAGTATCGCAGTGTATCCTTCTAACTTTGGCAGCTTTTCAATAAAGTCCATGGTCACCTCCTCCCATACCTTTTCTGGAAGAGCTAACGATTGTAGAAGCCCTCTTGGAGACATAGCTAAATACTTGTGCTTCTGACATATATCATAGCTAGCCACTATCTTCTCGACATCATTCTGCATACCATCCAAATACAGCTATGCAGAAAATCGGCGATGTCTTTTTGACCCCCGAAGGTCAACCAATGGTCATTCTATAAACTGTTAAAGCAAGTAGGGAATGTAAGAAGATGTCTTTGGAAGCACAAATCGCCCGAATGAATATCCTTATTTTCCACCAGCTTCTCCCTAATTTTTCTCAACCCCACATCTTGTTCGCTCTCTCCTTAATGCTTCTCAATCAACCACTAATGGCACAAACAATACCATCATCTGGGGCTCCCCCATGCACCTGGATAAATCGTCTGCTACTTTGTTTTCAACTCTAGGTCGATACTGAATCTCGAAGTCATAGCCCAATAACTTGGAAAGCTACATTTGATGCTCCTCAGTGACCATTCTCTGCTCCAATAAATACTTTAAACTCCTTTGGTTACTTCTGACAATGAAATGTTTTCCTAATAAATTAGGCCTCCATTTCTGAATGGACAACTCAATCACCATTAGCTCTCTCTCATAAACCGACTTGAGTTTTGCCCTGGCCGTCAACACCTGACTGAAATAGGCCACAGGTTTCTGGTTATGCATGAGTACCACTCCCAACCCAAAATCCGAGGCATTTGTCTCAACTATGAAAGGCTGGCTGAAATCTGGAAGAACTAAAACTGGCACTCTAGTCATAGCCTTCTTCAACTCAAATGCTTGGGTGGCTGACTCTTCCCAGTTGAAGTTGTCCTTTTTGAGTTGTTCTATCAACGACCTTGCTATAGAACTGTATCATTTCACAAATTTTTGATAGTAGCCTGTGAGTCCCAAGAATCCTCTCAACTCACTTAAAATCTTAGGTATGGGCCACCTGAGCATTTCCTTAATCTTACTCTAGTCAATTGCCACTCTTTCTTGAGATTCCACATGCCCTCAATACTCTACTCTGGGCTGGGCAAAAGAACACTTCTTCTGATTGGCGAACAAAGAGTGCTCTCTTAAGGTAGATAGCACAACTCTCAAATGCTCCATTTACTCGCCCTTAGACCTGCTATATACTACATCGCCAAAAAATACCAACACAAACCTTCGAAAGTAGGGCTGGAATACCCTATTCATTAGAGACGGGAAAGTAGCCGGTGCGTTAGTGAGGCTAAAAGGCATCACCAAGAACTCATAGTGTCCCTCATGCATCCTGAAAGCTGTCTTGTGGGTGTCTCGTGGTCGAATTCTTATTTGGTGGCACTAAGATTTCAAGTCGATCTTGGAGAATATCACAGATCCATGCAACCCATCGAATAGCTCGTCAATGACTAGTATGATAAATTTGTCGGGTACAGTTTCCTATTCATAGTACGATAGTCTACACAGAACCTCCAATTTCCATCATTCTTCACCAACAATACAAGACTGAGAAAGGGCTCACACTAGGCTTGATGATTTCAGCTTCAAGTATCTCCTGAATCAGTATCTCAATCTCATCTTTGATCTGAGGGTAGCGGTATGGTCGGACACTAATGAGGGAGACTCATTCCTTTTGAACAATAGAGTGCTCATGCTCGCGAAGATGGAATATGGTGCGGACATCCAACCGTCCATGCCAATCCGAGGAGGAGCTGAAGATCGACGACCGAGATCAATTTTCTTTATTTTCGTTTATTAAGTGTATTTTAATTTAGTTTTGCAATTTTCCATTTTTACCCTCTTATTTTATGTAAGCCCAAGGGGCGAATGTGTCTTTTAATTTCTCTTGAGGCCTATATATAGAGGCCCCTTCTCTTGTATTTGGAGGATGGATTATTGATAATAGAAAATTTTATTTTCGTGTTGATCTCTTAGTGAGTTCAAAAGGATCTCTTTGTGAGTTCTTGAGGAGAGTTTC